TAACATTAAAGCCAAAGTTGCTTTCCTTTTATCTTTCTTATAATTTAAATCAATTAAATTCAAACAAAACATTAAAAATCTCATTGATGTTATTTCTAATAAACCAAATTCGCCATTTTTGTTGAAAATAACTTGATTTTGCTATTTTGTATCCTCCTTGACCTGAAGTTGACAAAGGAGGTTCATGTCAATTTTGAAAAATTTTTTAATATAATTTGCGATTACTACATGTTTTTTTTTTAATATAATTTGCGATTACTACATGTTATTTTCTAAGATTATTTGTCTATTACTTTATTGAAATAGATAGAAAACAATTTTCAACCCCATCGTTCTCTTCTAGACTGTCTTGATACCGCTATTCTAGTCAATTTCCATTGCCAAACACCGACAACAGGCATTATTTCTATTTTGTTTATTTTATTTCATAAAATTCTGGCCATTATTTTAGCCATGGAATGTTGAATGAGTTCATGAAGTTAGCAAAAAACTAATGATATTTAACGCATAAACGATACAATTTTAGTTATTTGTGTGTAATCTTTTGATTATATTGTCGTGACTTTATTTGTGCGTTATAGAAGTCGTTATAATTATATGTATTTTAACATAAATGTTAATATATACATCTCGTATCCATAAAAATATTTAAAGTAGATTTTATATAATTTATAGTGTTTTAATCTATTTTATTCTGACCTGGTATAATTTTTAAACTTTTTTATTGGATGAAATTGAATTTTAAAAAATCTATGATATAAAATATAGTGATTTGATGATGTTACATATTATTCTAATAAAGAGTAACAAATAAAAAAATATTAAGTATAACATAAATTATATAAAAATATTTAAATAATGAAGAGATGATCCATTACTCTTGGTGAATTAAAAAAAATATTCCACATGTTCTCATCAAATAGTATTAATTGTAAATTATTATATAACGTGGAATAAAATTTGAAAATAATTTTAAATTTTATTTAAAAAATTAATAACTATGATGCTGATAACAAACATGATTTAATATAGTAGATTAACTCCATACTATAATGTATAAATTAAAATATTGTTTAGGAATGGATAATAATTGCATTGAGAAGTTGATCATTAAAAAATTAAGTCAAATTATTAATTATTTTCTTAATATTTTAAGGATAATGATATGTTACTAGATATTATACTTGATCTTTAAATACAAATCAATCAACTATCAAATCAATAATAAATTAATTAATTTAATCTTATTATATTTAAATTTGTGATATATACTTGAGAAAACTTATTAGAAGACCTAATAAGTAATAAGTAACGTACATAAAAATTATTGATCATAAATTAAAATGTTTAATTAAGTGTGACTTGATTGAAATAATTTTTAAAAATTAAATATTAGGGTGTAATTTATATAATGAATTATAATTTTAAAGTTAGAAAAATCAAATAGAGATTTAATTGAATAAATTTCTAAAAATAACCTAAAATAATAATTGTGATATTATGTGAGAAGCGAATTAATATTTTGATATTTATAAAATTTTTAAATTTTCCTATAAATAGAATTTCATGTCTTTTATTTTACATGATGTGAAAAAGATGAGTAGAGTACATAACGTAAATACCTAAAATACAAAAAAATAAAAAAGAATTGGCACTCTAAAATATAATAATTATTTTTAAAAAAAAATATTTAGGATATTTTTCATTAATAGTTCATATGAATTGATGTTAAATATCAAATAATTAAATAATTTATAATTTATAATAATCTAATTTTGAAGTAAGTAATCAAAGGCAAAAAGAAAATCTAGTTTTTGAACAATTTCACATAAACCTAAATAATTTTAAATTTACCTAACATGATCCCTAGGATTTCTAGAAAAAAAATTAATTTATAATTTTCAGTGCATATATTATTTCAAGAAACCTAATAGATATTAATATAAAAAAATTTATTGTAAATTATTTTCAAATTAACTTTAATGTTTGATGGTTAGAGTATATTCTTTAGGCGACTTTGAAGCATTGGAGTGGATTCTTGTTTGATTTGGACAAATAATTAAAAACTAAATTGATGTATTTATACAAATAATTTTTTTAAAAATAATTTTTATAATTTATAATTTGTTTTTTGAATTTGAACGTAGCCCCATACAAATAATTTTTTAAAAAATAATTTTTATAATTTATAATTTGTTTTTTGAATTTGAACGTAGCCCACAAAATGAATTATTTCATTATCTTCGCCGAAACCGCGATCCACCTTCGTCGTCCTTGCTAACAATGACTATATATAATAATATTTGCCTTGCTTGATTCAAAAACAACATTCTTTTCTTTTCTTTTTCTTTTAAGAAGTGTTTGAATTTATGGTTTGATCTGTTTTTTAATCTTAAAAATATTAATTTTTTAATAGTTTTAATGTCCTCATATAAAAAGATTATTTTTTATAAATTTCTAATAACAAAAAATCTTTTTTTAAAAAAAAAGTACGGCACAACTGAGAATATAACAAGCAAATTTTAACGCCAAATGTAAAAAGATTATTTTTTATAAATTTTTAATAACAAAAAATATTTAAAAATAAAATAAAAAACATGTACGGCGTAACTGGGAATATAACAAGCAAATTTTAACGCCAAATGACCAGAAGGAACACGGGGGGAAGCATGCAAATGGTGTACGAATATGTCAGCAATTCTAGACGACCAAATAAAGTAGACATTGGAGCACAGAAAGGGGAAATAATAAAAAGCAACATGCATATATTTATTTGTCCATGACAAGATGATAGGTTAAAAAATAATAATAATAATTCAAAGGATGACAAGAAAGGACAGGCAAGTGTAAGGTTTGTACAATTGTACCTGGCACTTTGAAGAAGATTCTATTGCACCAGAAAACGATCACAGCCAGAAACAGTGGGCATCTCATGACTCACGACCACAAGTTCTCATGTTGGGGGCCCTCTTTATATTTTTCAAAATTCTTAATTTTATTTATTGAGATTTACCAGTTCCGCTGATTAAGAATGCGACGATGGTAGTTTTTAAAATGATTTTATATTGAAATATATTAAATTGTTATTTTTTTATTTTTAAAAACTATTTTTAAAATTAATGAATGAAAAAAATTTCAAATATATAAATAAAATTTATTTTTAGTAAATAAATTGATTTTTTTAATAACATGGTTTACACTTTGTCAAATTTCAATATAACTCTAATCATTATCAATTAGATTTTAAATTTTTTTATGAATTTATTGAATTAATATTAAAATAATATTATTTTAAATAACAATTAAAATTTTTTATTAGATTTAATGCAGTAAAGCCTCAATATTTGATGAAGTTTTGCAAGATTACTTTTAAAATAAAATTTAATTTAAATCAAATTTTAATTACAACGTGAACTATCTTATTCAAATTTGAAGAGTGTTTGAGAATATGTTGTTTTTTAAAGTATTTTTTAATTAAAAATATATTAAAATAATATTTTTTATTTTTATAAAATTATTTTTAATATCAACATATTAAAATAATTTAAAAATATTAATTTTAAATAAAAAATAATATTTAAAAACAATTTAAAAAAACATGCTTTGCCCCACATCTCTCTATTAATTAGATTTTAAATTTTTTTTATGAATTTATTACATCAATATTAAAATAACATTATTTTAAATAACAGTTAAAATTTTTCATTAGATTTGATGCAGTAACGTCTCAATATAGTTTGATCAAGTTTTGCAATATTACTTTTAAAATTAATTTAAAATAAAATTTAATTTAAATCAAATTTTAATTATAACCACAACTATCTTATTCAAGTTTTGAGAGTATTTGAGATTATTCAAGTTTTGAGAGTATTTGAGATGAATGTAGTTATTTTTTAAAGTATTTTTTATTTAAAAATATATAAAATAATATTTTTTATTTTCATAAAATTATTTTTAATATCAGCATATTAAAATAATTTAAAAATATTAATTTTGAATAAAAAATAATTTTTAAAAACAATTTTTTTAAAAAAACATGCTTTGCCCCACATCTCAAAATCTCTTTTAATAGCTATGGTTTCAACTAGTATGTTCGGGCGGTATTTGAAAGAATTTTTTAATGTAGTTTTCGTGACCTTTTATCATAAGCACTGGAAGGGAAAAAACCAGTAAGAGAAGGCAGCTTGGTCTTCTTTAATATATTCATGGAAGAATCAAAGCCTGTGATTGACTAGAGCACAAAACAATTTCCCATTATTTTAAGCTTCGAAAGACTGTTGTTTTCTAATCAATTACTAGTTGATTCTCAAATCTGAATGGAGTCTCCTGAACCTCTGCTACCATGTGACTCTGACAGTTATCTTCATCAGCAATTTTGAGATTCAGCTTTAGAGCCAACAACCATAGCTAGAGCCAACTTCAGGAATTGGCTAGAAACTGCGCTTGAAATTGCATGAGAAAATCCCTCTAAAAATCTTTGAAATTTTGGTCTATTTTGGATTGGATTAGTGGTTAAAGACTCACCAAGCTTAGAGCAATCAAGTTCTGAATCTGTAACTCGAAAAATAATAGACATGGAAGAAGGTAAAACAACAGCAAATTAAATGGAGAAGGGAGAAAAACAGATCAATCATCACAAGAAAACTTTAGTTCATTACTCTAAAATTTTATCATCATCATCATCATCATTAGTAGAACATCACTCTTAACACATTAATGCTCCCAAAATCGTAAGAGATCAGCAGCATTGGCATCATCGAAACAGATCGATGCCTAGCCTAATAAGCCAGAAAAGGCGCAAACATTAATGAGGAAGGAAAAAGCTTCAACTACATCTCATTGAAACCCATCAAACTCCATTGAATGATGGGTTCAAGGATGGTTTGAGCCCAAAAAACTATCTATTTTAGAAAAAAGAAAAAAAAATATACAAGTGCCCAAAATCTAAAAAAAAAAAAAAAACCTCCAAATAGATAAAAAGAGCACCCACAATGTTGAAGTTAAACCCTAGCCTTCTCCAACAATGGAGTAAAAACATGACTAGTACCTGATGTTGTTTCCTTGCAAGAATCAAAACCCACTTCACAAGAAACAATCTTGAAAAAATCCTCCAAACCAAACTTACCAAATCTGGTCTCGTCTTTCTCTAACAACCTTAAAACCTCTTCAAAAAACTCAACTTCACAGAGCAAAACAAGTCCTCCATTACATTGAAACCCAAACTCCTCTTCTGTTTTCTTTAACAACCCAACAAAAACTGGCAGGTTTAGAAACCTTGTAGGTATCAGGAACCTCTTTTCTTGCATCCCGACATAAACTGCAAGATACCCAGCTGGTGGTGTTTTCTTGGTCAATGAGCCTGATTCTTGGTGGCTGCTTTTCTTGCTTCCAAGACTCCTTAGCTTCCAACGGTGCATGAATAACTTGAACCTTACAATCTGACAGATCTTGTTTACCTTCATTGTCGCTGAGAGGGGGGAGAGGGTTGGTGCTACGGAGAAGGTGAGAGTGATTAGTGTCAAGCTGGGGAGAGAGAGAGAGTGGGAGAGTTGGAGAGATGCTAATTAGTATAATTTGAAGAGAATTTGGCTTTATTTTTGGGACTAATTTGCCCTTCTCTTTCTTTTGAAAAAAAGGTTTAATTGTAACTATCAAACTTGATACTTGAAAAAGCGCCCGAGTTGTCAGGCCATCAAGTGATAGTATTTTGTTCCTGGTCGAGTTGAAATTGGTAATTGAATCATTAACAATTTAATCGGATTTGAAAAGGTCAATATTTTATCCAATTTAATTAAAACAATCTGATCCAAACCAGGTCATGAATACCAAGTTTCATAATTTGTACAATTCAACCAAAAATCTAACCTGAATTATACTACCTGCCAGTTTTGCTCCTAATAGAAGTTTTGAGGTTTAATTCTATATATATATATATTACTGGTATTTGGTGGAATACTATATAGAGGCATGCCATTTGCTTATCTGCGTTATTTTCCTCGTAAGAAAATAAGGTTTAAGTTTCACAAACATGTTTATTTTTTAAATTAATAACTTGAGTCAAATTACTATTTTTATTTTAATAAGATAATAAAGAAGTACACTAAGATAGTTAACAAAAAACAAAAATTAAAACAAAGAAATAGTTATGATAACATGAGAAAAAACATTTTTCCAATAGTGAAAAAAAAGGTTCAATTTTCAGCCTATTAATATGGAAGGTGAAAACTAATAAAATAAATGATATAGGAAATAAGCACAATTCAAGTGGAATTGACATTAAAATATTTTTTTTAAAAAAATCTTACTGGCCAGAAACTAATCTATCACCTCTAAGTATATGCCACACTAACAAAAAAAATAAATACGACAATATTTTTAATGATATCATAAAAAAGCATTTTTTGTAATAAAAAGATGTCACAAGTACCGCTCACGTGCTAGCACATAATTAACATTTGCTAATAAATTTTCTCATTTAATTAGTAATTAATTTGTATAAAAAGATTAAACTGCTTTCCGTGACATTGTAATAACAAAAAAAAAGAAAAGAGTGAAAAAATCAAAAGGCTCCTAGACACATGTTTTGATTTTATTATTATAGGAGTAAAAGTGTTATTTTACTGTATTTTTTAAATACAAAGATAAAAATACCTTTTTAACTAGTTTTAAAAAAGATAACTCATTGGATAATTATATCATTTTATTATGTAAAAACAAATTGAAAAAAGATGTTATTTTACTATATTTTTAAAATAAAGAAAAAAGTATCCCTCTTATCCAGTTTTAAAAAATCTATCTTACAAGGTAAAATATACTTATATCCTCATCAATTTTTTAATGGCTAATAGATTATTTGAAAGGACTAAAACACCCCAATTAATGCTACTGATTTTTTTTTTGTTTTGGTTGGGAAAAGTAAAAATATAATTATATTATTGTAATGAATAATAAATTGTGTGTATTCAATAAAAATACATTCAATTCTAGCTTACTTCTTTTTTTTTTTGTTATTTATCTTGTTCAGTGGTTTGATATTAAAATTACTTTTTTTTTTTTGTTGTTTATCTTGTTCAGTGGTTTGATATTAAAATAAATTAATCATAAACACAATTATCAAAAGCCCACGGGTCAAGAAAAGGCCCATTGGTGGATGAAGCCCACCCAAGGCTTAAAGAAACCGGTTAAAATTAAATCCACTGGAATTGGAGATTTTGTACAACCTTCAAATAATTAATCTAGTCCTTGTGTTCTTGACTTAACTAAGTTCATCCTCGTAGTTGTCTCCAATCATCCGAAAATGTCTGAAAAATAGAAGTTGAAGAGAGACATCTTTCCTGAGTAATTTCACTTTGGATAAATGCGAGCTCGCTTTTTGTATAATACAAAGTTTGAACATATCTTTTTGCCAAAATATACAAATTTATACAACTTTTCCAGAGCTTGAAGAGTGGATTCTCTGTTTACCAAACACAGACATGTTTCTTTAGTGTCCTTTCAATGATTTCATGTCATGGGCAACAAACTCATAATGTCCTTGTTAGCTTTTATGTAAAGCAAAAAATAAAATAAAATAAATCAAATGTTGTTGTCTATCAATCTTACAAAATGCGATTCTTATAATACACCCCATGATTATTGTTTTGATGTCACTAACATATAAAATTATTAAACCTTAGCAACGAATTAAATTTAAGAATCAATAAAAAAATCAACAACGAATCAAATTTAAGAATCGATAAAAAAAAATCAATCTTAAATTAATATTGTAAATTAATCCAGTTAAAATCCAATTAATTTTTTTAAAAAAAATTCTAATATTTTTTTTTTAATTTAATCGAATTAACGCTAATTAACTTACTCATAACCAAATTTAAGGCTAAGTCACAGATAAAAATATATTTAGAGCGTGTTTAAAAATATGATTATAGTTTTTTTAAAAAAATATTTTTTGTTAAGAAATATATCAAAATAATATATTTTTTATTTTTTAAAATTATTTTTAATATCAGCGCATCAAAATAATATAAGAACACCTAAAAAAAATTAATTTAAAAAAATAAAAAAATTATTTTTTTTTACAAATACTTCTAAAATATAAAAACAAACAGTTGCTTTAAATAACCTTTTTTTGAACTACAATTAACTAATACTTTAAAAAACATGGGGAAATATTGTAGCTTTTTCACTACACATATTTTTTTTTATGTTTTTTTTTTGTATTTCTTTTTTTTTCCCATTCTTTCCCCTTTTTCTTGCGATTTACATGTTTTTTTTTCTCTAGGATTGTCATCGTCTTCTTCTTTTTGTATTTTTTAAAATTATTTTTGTTGATTTTTTTAATATTGAACTGGATAAAAATTTAGTTTTGTAGTTTTTTTAAAAAAATTATGGATTACTACAATATTTCACTACATGACTTTTTTTAATGATTTGTTTTCTTTTCTAAAATGGTCTTTGTCGATTTTGCTTTGTAGTTTTTTTATTTAAAATATTGTAAATTATTATAATATTTCCCCACATGATTTTTGTTTTTCTATAATGTTTCCATACATGTTTTTTTTCAAAATTATCTTTCTTGAGCTTTTTTTTTAATATTAAGTTGGTTGAGAATTCAGCTTTAATTTTTTTCACGTGTTGTTTCTATTTTTTTTTAGAATTTTTTTTGTTGATTTTTTTAATATGGAGCTGGTTGAAAATTTAGTTTTGTAGTTTTTTTTTAAACACTGTGGATTGTTACCGTGTTTCACAACTTGTTTTTTTATGATTTTTTTATTTTTTTCAAAATTATCTTTATAGATTTTATTTTTTTCATATTGAGCTGGTTAAGAACTTAGTTTCATTATTTTTTTATTTAAAATACTATGAATTGCTACATTATTCCTCCATATAATTTTATTTTGTTAAGATTTTTTTTTAAATTATCTTTATCGATTTTATTGTTTTTAATATTAAGATAGTTGAGAATTACAATTGTAGATTCTCTAATAAAACATTATAAATTGCTACAGTATTTTCATGTATATTTTTTTTTGTTATGATATTTTTCAAAAATTTCTTTGTTCGTTTTATTTTTTAAATATTAATTTGTTAAAAATTTAACTTTATAATTTTTTTCTTAAAAATATTATAAATTATAATAATTTTTTATATAGCTTGTTTTTTCCCATAAATCTATCACAACACACAAATATACCCAATCTAGTTAAAATCCAATTAATTTTTTTTAAAATTTTTCTTTAAAATAATATTATTTTATTTTATTTTTAAAATCTAACATGAAATTTTTTTAATTTACTCGAGTTAGCTCTAATTAACTCACTCATAACCAAATTTGAGGCTAACTCACGGATAAAAACATATTTAAAGCGTGTTTAAAAATGTAGTTACAGTTTTTTTTCAAAATATTTTTCGCTCAGAAATATATCAAAATAATATATATTTTTTTATTTTTTAAAAATTATTTTTGATATCAGCATATTAAAATAATATAAGAATACCTAAAAAAATTAATTTGAAAAAAATAAAAAAATTAAATTTTTTACAAATACTTCTAAAATATAAAAACAAACAGTTGCTTCATATAACCTTTTTTTGAAGTATAATTAACTAATATTTTAAAAAACATGAGGAAATATTGTAGCTTTTCCACCCCACATGCTTTTTTTCTTCTTTTTTTTGTTTTTTTTTCTCCTCTAGGATTGTCATCGTCTTCTTCTTTTTGTATTTTTTTTAAATTATTTTTATCAATTTTTTTAATATTAATCTGAGTGAAAATTTAGTTTTTTAAAAAAAATTATGGATTACTACAATATTTCACTACATGACCTTTTTTTATGAATTTTTTTTCTTTTCTAAAACAGTCTTTGTCAATTTTGCTTCGTAGCTTTTTTATTTAAAATACTGTAAATTATTATAATATTTCCCCACGTGATTTTTGTTTTGCTATAATGTTTCCACACATGTTTTTTTTCAAAATTATCTTTCTTGAGTTTTTTTTTTAATATTAAGTTGGTTGAGAATTCAACTTTAATTTTTCCCATATTTTTTTATATTTTTTGTTTTTTTAGAATTATTTTTGTTGATTTTTTTTAATATGAAGCTAGTTGAAAATTTAGTTTTATAGTTTTTTTTAAACACCGTGGATTGTTACAGTGTTTCACAACTTGTTTTTTTTATGATTTTTTTATTTTTTTCATAATTATCTTTACGGATTTTATTTTTTTCATATTGAGCTGGTTGGGAACTTAGTTTCGTTGTTTTTTTCTTTAAAACACAATGAATTGTTACAATGTCCCCTATATAATTTTGTTTTGTTATGATTTTTTAAAAAAATTATCTTTATCGATTTTATTATTTTTAATATTGAGATAATTGAGAATTATAATTGTAGATTTTATAATAAAACATTATAGATTATTATGTATGTTTTTTTTTGTTATGAGTTTTTCTAAAAAAATTTATTCATTTTATTTTTTAAATATTAATATGTTAATAATTTAACTTTATATATTTTTTTAAACATTATAAATTACAATAATTTTTTACATAACTTTTTTATTTTTTTCATAAATCTATCACAACACACAAATATACCACAATCCTTCAAGATGACGCGGGTATGGAATTTAGTTTTATCTCAGGTGAGTGAAACTTTAACCTTGTCAATTTTAGATTCTTTTAATCAAGTCTGTATTCTCCAGCGATAAATAATTAAGAAAAAAACACTGTACATCTCATGATTAGAAAGATTGTGGGGACTACAACTCAACATCAAATAATTTTAACAATTCAATATAAAAGAAACCTTTTAATACCTGAGATGTTATTTCGATGGTAAATAAATTTACTTTATATATTATTATTTTAAATTTGAATATAAAATGATGACAAGTTCATAAATATATTGAATGAGCCTGAGCATTCTATTTAAAAATAATATTAAATTTTGATTAAAAAAGAATCGTATCAAAATAAAAATAAAAACTTACTTTTTAGATGTAAGTATTTGAACTTAGCTACAAATAATTTTTTTCTTGAATAAATAATTAAGATTTAGTCAAATCAAAGTTGTAGCTAAGACAGTTTTTGTCACCAATTTATTAAATTCCTTTTCATCTTATTTATCAATAAAAAAAAAAAATTTCATCCTTAAATTTTACTTCTCTAGTTTTTGTTTTCATCCTTAAATTTTACTTCTCTAGTTTTCTTCAAAAAACAGGAAGATAATAACCCATGAACGTGATGTTAGCAACAATCAGTTACTTTGTCGTTTTGTCCACAAGTGATCAGGCAATCTCTCTCGATCAGACTTTGGCCCAACAAAAGAAATAGTTTCTCCCAGTCAGAGGCCAAGAAGCCAAACCCAGTAACCTCTGATTGACAATTAAATTAACCAGAAAAAAACTTGAAGACAAGGAGTGGTTCTTCTTGGCCTAGTGAGAATGAGGTAAAATTCTCGACTTTTTTTTGTCATAATGTGTGTTGTCTTTTGACCGGGTTGTAAAATTTGTTTAAAGATCTGTTTTTTTATAACGGGTTGCTAAAATTTGTTTAAAGATCTGTTTTTTTATTGATAATTCTGCGCCTTGATCCAGTAGAAAGTTTTTATGGGATTTACTTTTTGTTGCTGTGTTCTTGATTTGAGTTTATGGTGGGGCATTTCTTGACTAAAAGATGCTGGCTTTTCTCTCGCTGCGATGAGCTTTCTTTTGGTTTTTGTTTCTCAGCTTGAAATAAAGGACAGTAAGCTTACAATGGCTGGGAGAGGTCCTGAAGAAGTGAGAGTGGTGGTCTCTCCTGGTCAAATTTGTCCACTTGGTGCTCCCATTGATCATCAGGTTCTGTTTAATAATTGTTCTTAATCTTTATGTAGCGTTGTGATTGAAAATCAATACCAGCAAGTTTTATCAATTCTGTACCACTGTAGATTCTGTGCCTGGTTCGTAGGGTCTTTCAATATCCGAGGCCCTTGAGACCCGAGTAGAAAATTTTAGATTTGTTTCTTTTCAGAACAATATAAACCAAATATAGGTATCTCATTAAGCTCTTTGACATTGTTTCTGGACTGACACTTCTTCCCTCCGTCTTGTAAGATGAGAGATCGATCTTGCATATATCGAAGTCCAAATGTTTGACTATTGATGTCCAGGATCATATGTTAAACATCCTTTCCACATCTGAATGTTGTCTCCCTTTTTCTTTGGTGAATAACTTGGAGACAGCTTCATGCTTGTCAGCAGAGAAGCATAGTTATAAGGTCCGGCTTGCCTGTTCCATGTTAAGCGAGTTAAATTTTCATGTCGGCAGCTTGACTCCGTTATATTGTTTTTTTATATCCAAAACAAGGACAGTAAAAAAACAAAATGAAACAAAAAAATAAAATTAACAAGGTTTTACCTTAGATTTTGTCTAGGTTACTTGAATTGCAAGTTGACTCACAAGATCATTTAGGTTTGACAAGGTGAACTCCCTTGATAGTTCAAAATTAAAACCAGCCTGGGCGACCCTCAGTAAATCATGTAATATAACGAGTTCTGAAAAGTAAGATATAACTTTGTTGCAATTAGATCATGTGAAAAGCCTGGTGCACATATTTATATACTAGGTGTAAGCCGAATAAGAGTTCTTCTCTAGCAAAATACTTATTGTAGTTGCCAGGAGATTCTACAGGCTTGTTCTATAGGAACAACTTGCTTCGCTGGCTCACATCGGGAAGGCCTTCAAAAATCCTAGTAGATACTGTTTGTTTCATTTTTTTTTATTCTTTCCGTTTAATTTCGGATTTTCAGTTTTAATTTCAGATTTTGTTTTCCTTTTTCCTTTCTCTGTTAAAATGAGAGGGTGGTTATTAACCTCCGTATGGTGCTCAACTGTTCATTCCAATCTATATGGGTGTATTTGATGGGCTGGAGTCGCATATCTGCTGGCTTTCGAAATGGTAGGCAAATTTCTCCAATAATCGCACCTGCTTATTGGAATTTGTTTTCATGCATGTCTTATTTGTATACGAGGAGGATATGTCCTCTCTGTCTTCACTATCTTCGTATCTTTTATCTCAATATAACAACCAAATGCCGCCTTGAGAATTCTGGGCTTGATTAGTTGATACTGCATTCCATGCAAACAGCTCTGTACCTGGGCCTTTGATTTCCTGAAAGAAGCATCTCTTCCATGGATGTGTGTGGCCCTCAGGCTCCTATATCCTTCGTATGCATTCTACTGTGGGATTATCCCTATCCTTGGTATGAACGCATGTTTGTCAAGAACTGATCGTTGCTTATTTCATACTAGCTGGGCTGCTCTGTCTCAGATACAAAGATTATCCCAATTCTTTTAAAGATTTCGGTCTCTCTGAATCTTACTGTTCTGCACAAGCAGGCTGATTGAAAATGAATATCTGGGTCTGAAAAACGACATATTGGATCTATCAGCAATTTTGCTTTCAAGCTATGCTTGCCTTACTCGCATGAACTGCAAGGTGATGATCGGATCCATGTGCTGTATTCTATATTTTCAAGCAAGACTACCTCTAAAATCCGAGCTCGTTCCTCCTTAAGATTTCATCAATAGTCGATTCCATATTATTTCCATATTAGATTTTGTGGATTTTTCAATCTGACTAACCAACGTCTTTACTTCAGTAAGCTGAAAATACAGAAGCGTATAGCTAGCTACTTTCCTTGCTAGCGAAAAGAGAGAGAATATCATAATTTAAACATATCATCTTTTTTAGCAATGAATTATCTTCCTTTATGATAATTACGAATTTTTTTAACTTAATTTTGATGAATGGAAAAATTACGGTTTTAAATTAATTATTAATTCTTATTATAAATAAAGCAAAAACAATGATTTTTATATATTATTTTAAGACGCTGTAAGTGTGATAATATATATCAAAGGTAAAACAATTTTTTTTCATTTTCTTTTTTTTATCCCTTATTAACTAAATATGATATAAAAATATTCATTTTTTCTTCTTTGTTATTATCAAATACAATTTTATTTTTATTTTTTATTTTCTCTCATTCATTTTATTTTAATTACATCATTTTTTTATTTTATAAAAAACAATAATTAAATGCTAATATACAATTACTTGTGTAGGTCTAACATTTATTTAAAAAATTATTTGTTTTTATTTTTTTACTTTAAATTAATATTTACATAATAAAGCTTGGAATTTAATAAATCACAGTACATCAACGATATATGTTAACTCTTGTTTATTTTCACGTTTCAAAATTATTTTTAAAAAATTTAATTGTTTTTATTTTTTTATTTTAAATTAATATTTTTTTAGTGTTTTTAGATCATTTTAATGTGTTAATATCAAAAATAATTTTTTAAAAATAAAAAAAAATATTATTTTGATATATTTTCAAGTATTTAAAAATATTTTAAAAAACAATTGCAATTACACTCTTAAATAAATATTTTATTTTTGGTTATTAAACGTTACGTCGCTTGATAATTTAATTTGGTTTGAGTTTTATAATAAATAAAAAAAATTAATATAATATGATATAAATAAATATTTTATTCTTGGTTATTAAACTTTACGTCGCTTATAATTTGATTTGGTTTGAGTTTTATAATAAATAAAAAAAATTAATATAATATGATATGATTCAATTTAAAATTCAGATCATCTAGTGGCTCAATCGAATCGATTAAAAATCTATAAAGCTTTTTTGTTTTCATTTTCTTAAATCATTTTAACTTTTAAGAAGAAGGACCCAAAACATTGAAATTTGCAATCCGGCTCAGCATGAATCCATATGATTCCACGATCACTAGATAAGCAACCATTTCTGCTAATTAATGTGTGGCAATTCCCCGTCCTAGATTAAAAAATGCAAAGGTGGAAACTCCACCATTGTGATAGTGTACTGAAGCCCCAGCAGCACCACTACCAGTTGCCATAGCGAGAGAAAGCAGTATTTATTTACGTCAGGCATGAATACAGAAAGCTTAGAGTTTAAGAATGAGGGCAAATGGAGAATCTATGCTATGGTTGCGTGCATGCTTGGAGGCTGCCATTTCCAGGACTGAAGCTATTACACATCCGCGTGCGTGCTTCACATGTGAGTCCCGACACACGTGAAGCATATGAAAGACGTGGTGATTGCACTTGGCAGCATGGCCTCACGCACGTAATTTGCAGGAATGCATTGAATAATTTCACTAGTTGAAGAAGGAAGAGTCCGGCTCACCGTGGATCCACATATATGATTCTACAGTCACTTGATTGTTGATCGTACACAAAAATGAATGCAAGTGGGGATCACCTAGTATTTTCTCAGGCAAAACTACAGTAGACGTGCCCTTTAGAATTATTTTTTTGCTCGTGGCCGAAAACATCAGATGAGCTTGCCTTGAGGGGTAAAGTGATTTGCACGATGCACGATGTTAATTTGCTATTATTTATTTGGTTGCGGGGGGTAATAATGTTTTTTCATAACAGTACAATTACTTTATTGGTCTTAAAAGTGAAAAAAATGAGAATTTTTGGTTAGAACCTTATAATAATTGCACAATACAATTACTTTATTGGTCTTAAAAGTAAAAAAATGAGAATTTTTGGTTAGAACCTTATAATAATTGCACAATCCAATTACTTTATTGGTCTTAAAAGTAAAAGGATGAGAATTTTTGGTTATAACCTTGTAATAATTGCATGATTCAATTGTCTGATAATCATATCAGATACAAGTGAGTGGGGTTTAGCAGCCATGTCCAGATTCTTAACATTGTTATTGATTTTATTATTTTTCAATTCCAAAAACTTTGCAACCTGTATTTAGTTGAGTCTAGCAAATAAATAAGATTTAAATTGTTTGGTTGTGAAACCCAAGATTAATTTTATTTAATGTTGAGACGTATAATTTTTTTATAACATTTTTTTAAATTATTATTGAAATATCCTAAACAAAAATTCAAGTTCAGAAATTATTTATAAACAACAAATTATCACAAAAATATAGTTTAACTTTTAGATTTTAAAATTCAAATTATATCGTTTCATTGAAATAATTTATTTTTTATATTTATAAATTTATTATTCCTTTAATAAAAATTCTATCTATTTTAATTATTTTTTTAATTCAATATTTAGATTTGACATGATTCACGTGCTTGAATCTGACGATAACCATATCAGACTTTAATAACTTGGATATGACACGCTATATCAAGATTTTTAGATTTGACATTGACAACCATGTCAGACTTTAATAACTTGGATCTATATCAAGATTTTTAGATTTGACATTGATTTTAATATTTTTAAATTCAAAAAGTTATGATAGATTTATGTTTAGTTGGATTTGACAAAATCTAAATTATTTGAAAGAGAGATTCAAATTATTCAAGTCAAGCATTTTATATTTGTTTTTTAAAATTAATATTAACTCGTTAACAAAATTTATTCTGCACGAACCTGGTAAATCAACCACAAGATCTGTCGATTCAAAACTCGTATCAAGGTTTTATATATATGATATTAAAGAATTCAAGGCCTTTTACCGTAACGTTAAATTGAGAAGAAGTAGAAGAAGAAGAAGAACAACCATTAATGCTGGTCATGCATGGCAATTCACCGCCAGGGCGAGGTTGAACTTTTTTTTTCTTCAAAGAATTGAATTTTTTTGTTTTAAAATATTTTTTAATACTTTTAAATTTTTGAATATCAAATATAAAATATTTAAAACATATTATTTTAATATATTCTCAAACAACCAAACTCTTAAAAAACAAAATTTATCATGTTTACAAACACCCGCAGAAGTGGAAACTCCACCATTGTAATGGTGCAGCGAAGGCCCACCAGCCACAAGTTGGGTGCGCCGAGTGGGGAAGCCAAAATCATGTGCCCCAAATTTGAAGTGTCATCTTCATCATTCTTCATTACTGGGTCAGCCGACACAGGAATGATAATCTTCGTCGTCGATCTACAACCCTTTTCAGTTTTCATCTACCCACCATGGACATCAGAAAGTGACATGGGTTGCAAAGACGATAGCCCCAGCGAATAGACTGGTATAAAGCAATAACAATAAATCATAAAATTATATATAAAAAAAGAGATAGTTGAACATTGTTGGGATCTTGAAAAAATTATCCCCTGGGGCAAGTAGAAAAATAAACAGGATGATGGATACTCGTGTGATATAATTTTTTCTATAATTGAGATGTTGGCTCTAGTGATGGATGATGTCTCTTTCTTTCTTTTTTAATCAGTACCGATGATTTGTTGATCATTTGAAAAGGGGTTAATATTTATTACATTAAAAAGGTTAAGAATACCTAATCCTTGAAAATAAATAAAAAATATCAATTCATCTTTTTTTCCCTGTCTGTCAAGACGCTTGTGGTCGAGTTTTGATTCCAAATCTCAAGACAGAGTGAGTTGACATTGTAAACTGAGAATCCAGTGAATATAGTTTAGTGCTCCTATTTGTTATTGTAAAAGTATCTGTGCAAACACGCTAATGTCCGAATTAGTCTATTATGATGAAAATGATTTTTCATGTACAGTCTTGGGAAAGGACGGACGTATAATTGAAGAATAAAGATATATAGTGGAAGTTCCTTTAATGGAAACTTGAACGTGTGCTAAGCAAATTACCGAACTGTGGAATCAAGTGATTATTATTATAATCACTGAGATTAGTGGTTTCTTCCACTCAATCAAGTGAGCTTTAAAAATAATTGAGGTGGGGGGATTTAAATCTGGATATTCTATTTCTTCTTTGGTATACTTTGGTCTCTTCAGAATGCTCCTCATAATAACTTTATTTTTTATGAAATATATATTAAGATGATTTGTGTATATATATATTAAGATGATTTGTGTCATTCGTTTTCTAGTGTGTTGCTAGTTGGGTGAAATGTAATGGTATAAATTTCTACTATCGTGGTTCAAGCTTACTTCATTCTTTAGATGGTATTGTTATGTGGACTAACAGAACAAATAAAAGAAATGATTCATCTTGGAAACCTTCGGCGCCTAGAGGCATGTTGAAGTGGAATGTTATTGCGTTATTAAATAGCTAAACTTTCAAGAATTGATGGTATTCTCAACGATCATGAAGGAAGATTTCTTTGTTATTTTTCTTGTTCCATAGGTAATATGGATTCTAATGGAGCTGAGGCCTTGACAATTAAAAAGGCTATGCTTTTAAGTATTGATTATTGCTAAGCTTTTACAAATCAATGAGCTGTGAAATCATATCTTACAACATAATTACTTGGATTAAAGAAAAAAATATGTTTTGTGCCCTCGAGGCCTTCAAATAGAATTCAATGCATACAATCAACTTTATTTTGTGAGTTTTGATCATGCTTACAGAAAGAAGAATCATGTTGTAACTTATATGGCAATGCAAGAATTTCTATACTCTCCACTCGGAATGCTCACATGATCGAGGTATATAAATACTTTGGATTACTAGGTAAATGAATATAACAACATAAAACTCAACACATAAAGCAACTCTTGCTTGCTTCTTCAAACCTTTACGAACCTTACAT